ACAGCTTTTGATTTAGTGGAAGTCTTACTGTGTTTTGCAGTGGAAGTTGTATTTTCTGTCCTTGATGCATAAAGCTCAGAGGTATCTCCAGTGGGTTGGTGACTGATGAGAGACAACTGTACTTCCACTTGGTCCCTAGACCTATGTATCCCTCCTATTCTGTGCCTGCTTGACGTTGTGAATGCTCAGTTTTCTGCTCTGGCTGTTTCTGCCTCCTGCTACGTCTCCCCACCAATATGGACTCTGGAACCATAAATTCTTCCTTTTAAAGTTGCCTTGGTCATGGTGTTTTATTAAAGCAACAGAAAGGTAATGCAGAGGGAAAGGTAGGTTAGATAAAAGTGAGCATGCAGGGCCTTCTGAGGAAAACAAAGGTTTTCAACAGTTTCAACCACATGCATTAAGACTGCTGTAGTTATTCTGTTGACAGATGAAGTGGACAAGTGGAGGTGAGATCACTTAATAGAGGTGAGATGGTGATCTGAATGAAGATTATGACATTGAAGCATCAAAGTGGGCAGGACTCTACCCATTACCTATGTGGGCTGAAAGAGAAGGAACTTTAAATTCTTCAGGACAGAGTAAATGGCATTGCCTTTTGAAACAACACACTGGCATTTAAAAAATATTTTATTTTTATTTTATGTGTATGACTGTATTGCCTGCATGTGTGTAAGTGTGCCTGTGCCATGCAATGCCCTCGGAGGTCAGAAGAGGGCATTGGAGCCCCTGGAACTGGAATTATGGACAGTTGTGTGCTGCCATGTGGGTGCTGGGAATCTAGCCTGGGTCCTCTACAAGAGCTGGTTAGTGCTCTTAACTGCTGAGCCATCTCTCTAGCCCCCACACTGGCATTTAAAAAAAAAATACATGGGTGTTCTTGAAGTACACATTGGGTCATACAAATGCAAAAAGGCCAGAAGTCAAGATTGGAGGCCTTAGTGCACAACTGCCAATTAGTCTTTGTTTTTGATCTAAGAAAACAAGAGCCCATGAAATTTTTTTTTTTTTTTTCGGTCTCCCTGTAGCCCCAGCTGGCCTGGAACTGGCTATGTAGACCACACTGGCCTTGAACTCACAGAGATCCGCCTGCCTCTGCCTCCCAAGTGCTGGGATTAAAGGTGTGCACCACCACGTCTGGCTATTATTATTTTTATGTATGTAAGTGTATTGCCTGCATGTGTGTAAGTGCACCCATGTCATGCAATGCCTGAGGAGGTCAGAAGAAAGCATAAGAAACCCTGGACAGGACTTACAGATGGTTGTTAGCTGCCATGTGGGTGCTGGGAACCAAACCCAGGTCCCAGAAAGAGTAGCTAGTGCTCTTAACCACTGAACCATCTCTCCAGCCCTGGCTTAAACTGTTCTTGTCCTCAACATATTACTGTGAATTAGTTTTTCTCAGATTATAATTTTACTGTGATGGGGATTGAATCCAGGGCCTTCGGTGTGCTAGAATAGACAAGTGCTCTACCACTGAGTGACATACCAAGCCCACTTATTTCTTGCAGAGGACCTGGGTTTGATTTCCAGCACCCACATGGTGGCTAAGAACCATCCTTAACTCCAGTTCCAGGGGAATCTGATGCCCTCTTCTGACCTCTGTGGCACTGCACTACATGGGTGCACTTACACACATGCAGGCAATACACTCATACGCATAAAATAATATAAATATCCTAAAAAATTTTATTAGCCATGTGCATGCCTTTAGTTCCAGCACTTGGGAAGCAGAGGCAGGCAGATCTGAGTTTAAGGCCAGCCTGTTCTACATAGTGTGCTCCAGTCCAGCCCCACTACATGGAGACCCTGTCTCAAAAAGACCAAAAAAGTTATTTTTATGTGTATGAGTGTATTGCTTGCATGTATTTAAGAGTCATGCAATGCCCCCGGAGGCCAGAGGAGGGCATTGGGTTCCCCTGGAACTAGAATTACAGTTGTTAGCGGCCATGTGGGTGCTGGCCCTTTGCAAGAGCGGCCAGTGCTTGTCACCACTGAGCCATCTCTCCAGCCCCAACACTCATTACTTTTAAATGGATACTGACTGGGAATTCTCTGAAATAGAACAGGTCAGTAATACTTGCTGTTAACTGCAGCACTTTGAATCCGTAATCTTTATGTGTATGTGTACACAGCCGCAATCTTTTTTTTAATGTGTATGCATGTATTGCCTGCATGTAGGTAAAGTGCGCCCGTGTTGTGCAATGCCCAAGTAGGTCAGAAGAGGCTGCCGGATCCCCTGGGACTGGAGTTACAGTTGTTAGCTGGCATGTGGGTGCTGGGATTCGAACCCGGGTCTTCAGCAAGAACCACCAGCGTTCTTAACCACTGAGCCATCTCTCCAGCCCCCATAGCCATAATCTTATACTATCTCACCATCAATTCCTCAGAACAGCATTCTGCAACTCTTTACTCCAACCTCCTCTAGACAATTCAGCAGTGGCCCAGGCTGCCTCAGCCTGAGTGCTGGGATTACACCATGTGCCACCATGCCTGGCTTGCCTGGCTAGCAGTTGATCTACTAAGAGTTCCAAGTAGGGGTTACTAATTGGACACATTTGTAAAAAATTCCTTGCCTCTCAATTCATTAGGAACTGAGTCAATGCTAAGATAAAAAAAATAAAAGAATTATGAGTGCATTGGAAAATTGAAGATGGGTGCAGCATTTAATGATAGCCCATAGTTGAGAGGAAAAAGTAGAGGAATCAAGACTGAGACTCAAACCGAAGGCCTCAGGAATAATAGGCAAGGCTCTACCACTCAGCTCCAGCCCTTAACTAGAAATTTTTGATCTAGTTCCAATTACGCCCAAGATGGTGATGTATTCTGTTGCTGTGACACCATGACTAAAGCAGCCTTTGGCTTAGCTTCAGAGGGATGAATCCATCATACAGGGAGGCATGGCAGGAGAAAGCTGGAGCAGAGAATTGAGAGCTGACATCTTCCATTATACCCAGAAGGCAGGGAGGCAGCCTGAAGTGGGATGAGCCTGTGAACTCGCCGTCTATCCCCAGCGACATACTACCTCCAGCAGGACCACACCTCCTAAAGGTTCTATGACCCTTCCCAAACAGTGGCACCTACTGACCAAGTTTTCAAATATTTGAAGCTTATGCGGGACGTTTTTCATTCAAACAAATCCACTGATTCAAGTTTTTCTCCTGAAAAAGTAAATTCTAAATTCAATCATTTCCAGCCAAAAGAACTTAACAGATTTTCCAGGTTGTTTAAATCAAGCATTCCAAAAATCTTTGAATGGAAGTATTTCATGTTGATACTAAAAGACTAATGTTGCACACGCACACACTCACACACACACAATCTTATTTAAGCTTTTACAGATTAGAAGGAACCCGAATTATTCTATTCAATGATACATCTACAATAAAAAATGTTTGAGGGGGCTGAAGGAATGGCTCAGCAGTTTAGAGGACAGGACCAGGATTTGATTCCAAGTACCCACATAGTGGCTAACAACCATCTCCAACTCCAGTTCCAGGGGATTAGATGCCTTCTGGCCTCTGCAGGCTTTGTGCGGCATGGATGCACTCACATACATGCTGGCAAATACACATTAAAAAAACAAAAAAACCCACTCCCAAATCCTGTTTGACGCTGGGCATGGTGGGGCACATTTTTAATTCTAGCACTTAAAAGGCAGAGGCTGGTGGATCTCTGAGTTTGAGGCTGGCCAGAGCTATAGTGAGACCGTCTCAAAAACCAGTCTGGCATGGTGGTACATGCTTTTAATCCCAGCACTTAGAAGGCTGGAGGTAGGAGGATCTCTGTGCGATCAAGGCCAGCCTGGTCTACATAGGGAGTTCCAGGCCAGCTAGGACTACAAGATCTTGTCTCAAAAAAACAAATAGGGGCCAGGCGTGGTGGCACATGCCTATAGTCCCAGGAGGCAGAGGCAGGCGGATCTCTGTGAGGCCAGTCTGGTCTACATAGTAAGTTCCAGGACAGTTGGGGCTACCAGAAGACCCCATCTCAAAAACACCAAAAAAACCCAAAAAACCAAACAGGGGCTGGCATGGTGGCACACGCCTTTAATCCCAGCAGAGGCAGGTGATCTTTGTGAGTTCTAGGCCAGCCTGGTCTACATAGTCAGTTCCAGGCCAGCTGGGGCTACAGGGAGACCCTGTCTCAAAAAAAGATCAAAACAAAACAAAACAGGGTCTCTATGGCCCAGGCTGCCTAAAACTTGTAGCAATCCTGTTTCCGAGTGGCTAGGATTACATGTGTGAGCCACTATTTCCAACTTTAAGAACCTGCTAAGGCCCACTGCCTTGCCTAGTACCTATGGCCAGTTAAATTACAAAGCACATGGTTGATTCGCAGAACATGAATGGTCCATTACAGGCTTATTGCAACTATTCAGGTAGATACACAAGAATCATGGGTTTAAGGTCTACCTGGGCTACAGAGTGAGCTCAAGGTCACCCTGAGTACCTCAGCGAGACCATTTCAAAATGTCTCAGCAGTAGAGCCACTTGCTTGGAATTTCCAAGACCCTGAGTTCAAGCCCCAATACCAAAAAAAAAAAAAAAAAAAAAAAAAAAAAAAAAAAAAAAAAAAAAAAAATGACTTTTCCAGTGACCTTGATAGGCAAGTCTTCTTTAATCTCAGTACTCAAGAGACAGGCGGCCAGTTCCAGGCCAGCCCAGGGTTACATAGTGGGACAATGTCTCAAAACCCCAAAACAAGTTTAAATCTCTTTCTGCTTTAGTAAGAGCACAAGTTCTCAACAATTTCACTCCCAAGGGATTAAAAACCTTATGTATAAAGCAAAGACACAGTACATCAATAGTGTATTAAAATTTATTGGGGTACTAAGGTTTAGGGAAAAAAGGTTTCTGAGGGGTATTGATAATGGAAAAAAGCTTTAACACTGTTATGTTAATCTCTTGCTCACATGCATTTCCCCTCACCACCATCATAATGCTATATATAGTATTATGTGGCATTTTTGGTATCTGGAGGTTTTTTTTTTTTTATAAGAACAGAATAGATATCTCTAAGACAATATTCCCAGAGTATGGGGAAATTTATGATCAGCTCTAAACACAGAACATCCAAGGGATTAAGCCTATGAAATGGACACCCAAATCAGGAGAGACTAGACAGTCACCCAATCATAATTACAGTTTTCACATCTGCATCAGTAATTACATATTTGGAGCCATTATGTTGGCACTGGCAATTTTATTTTATAAAGCATTCCTTTTCTTTACATTTTACTTGTAAGGTGCCTTACCCACTTACTATTTTAAGTAAACACTACTGTGTCATTATCAAAGAAAAAACCCATGATCAAAGATCATAATGTAGTTCTGGAAGACTACACACTCTTTACTATACACAGTATATAATAAGATAGGGTACACTTTGTATGGCAGTAACATGCAATGATTTGGCTGTAGAAATGTCAATGTAGTTTCAGCTACATCATAATTTGGTGTAGGTGTTTACAATTTGATAGTTTTAAGGATGAAAGGAGAAATTATTGTTTAATGCTTACATAGTAAAGACATCTGAACACAGAACATACAGCACAGCATTGGGTGTTAAGTGAGCTTATGGGGAAAAAAAAAAGACTGATCTATAAAACCTAAGTGTAAGGATGGACTTTATTTAAAAAAAAAGTCTTGAGGGCTACAAATTACAAAGGAAAAGTAGATCACTACACAGAAATTTAGTGAATACATTTTGCCTGTGCATAAAACTTTATCAAAGTTATTCATTTAACAAATTCACCCCACCCAACAATGTTTTCAGTTCTAATGCTCTTATCTTTATTTCAAATTATATTACATGTTATTCTCAAGATAACTTTTAAATAGCAAATTCTTGGCTTCTAAGAATGGCACCTTCAAAATGGGCAATTTCCACTGTCTGGCAGCATTATTCTAGGCCATTTCCTTTCACCAATTAAAAAAATTTCAAAATGTTCACTTTTAACAAGCCTTTCTACCCCAAACCACAGCTACATTTCCCACTATTAACTACAAATGGATTAAAAAAAAAAAGTGACAAAAAAGGCAGCCATTGAAGACTTCAAAGAAATACTTGACTCATGGCAATTAAAAAATGGCAACCAGGGTATGCTGATCCAGGTGCTTGAGTCCTTCGCTGCTCAATGCTGCTGGAATGAAGACAGACAACCAGCAGGGATGGTTAGCATTACACCTCACTCCTCGCATTAGGAATAAGTCAGGGTTAGGTCCCTGGTTAGAACATGCTCAGCCTCAATATTTCCAACCATCTTTTTGGGTTAGAGCATGAGTCCTTTTACCAACACTCTGTTAAGTAACCCTCTCCTCTAACAGTCTAAGGGCACTCAGAAAAAAACAAACAAAAACAAACCAAAACCAAAACGCTTGTATGAAACAGTATTTGTTTCACCTGTAAAGATACAAAAGGAATGCGGAAGTCTCTAGGAAAAAGCCCAACCTCCTTGTCCCTACTACCTCTGCCACATAAGATTTCTCAAACTCGTTTGTTCCCCATGGCTTTACTAAGGATAAAACCCAAAGAGCAACCACCACCTGGGGTTAAAAATAAGCAGGATTCATGTTATGAATTCAATTATTACCTAAGAGATTTTCATTGATGAACAGGGCTCTGGACATACTAAATTATCCAAACAAATCACTGCCTTTTGAGACTTTGGATACTTTTACAGTTTAATTTGCAAACAGAATTTTCATAACAAATTATTTTTTAACCAAATCATATTTTGAAAACTTTATATAGAAAACCCAGGGAATAAAGTAAACTGTTCATTGTGGAAGGCCTTAAATTACATTACAGTAGAAAATACAGGAGGTAGAAAATAACTGAAAAAACTAATGCAACATTAGATTTGACTCTACAGCTCCTGTAGCTACTTAAAACATGGTTGTAGAAACTAAACCCAACATTTCCAGTAACCATAGAAACAAGTTAAAATAAAATTTGCCATGAAAGCCCTTATATCATGCTTGATATAGGGAGGTAGGAAGATGTAAGAACCAGGACACATGAGACATGACATATTATCTACAACTCCTGTTTGCTTTACTGAGGATGTTGTTTCAAAATTCAGTCACCTTCTTCAGCTTCAGACTCAGATTCTAAAAAAGAGGAAGTAGCAGTCAAGCATTTTATTTCAAGTCCAAACTCTATTACTCTGAAATGTTCTAACCATGGGAACAATTTGATTAACATCTACTAAAGTGAGAAGCAGCATGCATGTATTTACTACCGTATCCCCCCAAAACTCAATTTCCCTACTAATGTTTAGTGTAATATTATTAAAACATTGCAATGGGGCCAGGAGGATGCGGATCAGTAGGTAAATTGCCAAACCTGACAATCTGAGTTTGATCTCCAGAACTCACATGATAAAAGGAGAGAACAGACTCCAAGTTGTCCTCCACATGTGTAGCATGTAATGTGCAAGCACATATAAACATACGAAAAATGCAGTAAAAGGGGCTGAACAGATGGCTCAGCACTTAGACAGGTCTTGCAGACGACCCTGGATTTGATTCTCAGCATCCACATGGCTGCTAACAACTGTCTGTAACTCCAGTTCCAGGGGAATCCCACAACCTCTTCTGACCTTTGCAGGCATTGTGCAATATAGGTGCTCTTAAGATACATGGCAAGCAATACACAAAAAATAAAATCTAAACTACTGTAATAATTAGGTCTACTTTTTCCCCTCCTTGCTTAAATGAGTAAGAAATGTATCTCCAGATACAATGTGGCTTGTATGGAGATATATTATGGCCATATTAAAACCAATTTCTAGTATACGACCCATGCTTGTAAACCCAGCACTTGGGAGACAGAGGCAAAAGAATTGCCACAAGTTCAAGGCTCGCCAGTGTTATATAGTAAAACTGTCTCAAAAGACAAAATACAAAATCCTACAACTTAGTTCCTAAACAAACTACGCATTAGCAAAGACTTACCTTCTTCAGCATTTTTGAGCCATTCTACAAATTTCTTCATTTGCTCAAGGAAGACACTTTTCCCCTTTGCAACGTGTGCATCTTTATACCACTTCAGAATGGGCTCTTCACTCAGGACCTCAGCTACGGAGAATGTCGTATCATTAATTACATTAGGGCAGTTTTAATATACTTTAAAATTTTAAGTGTATGAGTGTACTGCCTACATGTATGTAAGTGCACCCATGTTGTGCAATGCCCATGAAGGTCAGACCAGAACTTCAGGTTCCCCTGAAGTGTGGGTGCTGGAAATCAAACCTGGGTCCTCTGCAAGAGCATTCAGTGCTCTTAACTGCTGAGCCATCTTTCCAGTCCATTAACACACCATGGAGGACAGCTGCTTACTACTGGTTTGCTACTCTGGACTGTGCTCAGCCAGTCTTCTTATACAACCCAAAACCACCTGCCTGGGGCTGGTATCAACTAACAGTGAGCTGGGCCCTCCTGTATCAGTCAAGAAAATGTCTCACAGACATGCCCACAGGCCAGTCTGATAGAACAAAGTCTCCAGTTGAGGTTCTTTCTACCCAGGTATGTCGAGTTGACGAATGAAGATATCCAGCATACTAATAAAGGGTTTAAGAGAGGTTTTGGCCACAATGTATTAAAAAGCACCCAATTTAACCAGAGATGATTTAATCTTGTGAACACAAGGAGCTGATGTTCAGACTCTTGTTATTTTGAGTAGTTAAGGATTTTTCAGTAAAACTCATAAAACTTAAGATTTATATTACCTTTATAAAAAAGCACCACTATTTTCTGGAAGGCTTTCATGAAATGAATATTGTCATAGCAATACTCCTGAATCTTCAGTAACAGAGTCAGTTCAGACTGACCTTGAGTAGTAAAGGCAGCAAGTAAAGGGCTGTATTGCTTTTAAAAAGAAAGAAAAAACATTTACTCATTCATTATAATGATCATGTTACAAAATTCTTACAATACAGAACATAACTCACCTTTTACCACCACTGTGAATTATAATCTGTTTATTGGAAATTAAGAACAAAAAATAGTAAAGCAGAAAAATCTACTAAGCATCTAATTCCAGTTAAGTATTTCAGGTAACTGTGGAACAATACTAGTATTTCAGTGGGGTAAGAAAAAAAAACCTCCCCATTTTCAAACACTCCCTCAGAAGTATCAAATCATTAACTTGTGAACCAAAAATGCCCAAGCTAACCTTATAGTTATCATCAATGCTGTATGTATTATGTCTGCTTACTGGTGGGTCATCCCTAGGAACCACAGGATGTGGTAAATCCTTAGAAAAAGTCCACTGACGGCCCACTTACAAGTAGAACAGTTTGTTTTGTCAAGGCACAATTCCAATACCTTCAAGTGCTTGATGGCTTGCTCTGCTACAAGCTCTTCTTTTTTGTTCCATTCCACAGTGCTCATTACACTTGACCAGACTATCCCAATGACAACTGGTTCTGGGATGTTGTTTTTTTTCATTTCCTCTTTGACGTATAAAATTATCTGCAAAACCACCCAAACTTAGTAAAAACATTTTAAGTAAGCCAATTTTAACACAAATATATTTCACACATCAAACTTAGGTACTTCAGAAAAGCATAAAAATACCTTTCCATGAAACTGGCAGCAAATTCCATGTGTACCACATACAAACAGAAAACCTTTACAATGCAACAGGGCCCTGAGTTTCAATCTACTTTATAGACATACTGACTCAAGCAGCTTGACAATCTGAGTTAGCTTCCTGGGACCCACATGGAGGAGAGCCAACTCCAAGGTTAGTTCTCTGACCTCTGCGTGCACATTCTACCCACCAACTACACAAAATAAGTGTTCTGTTTAATTTTTGAGGGCAGAGTCTCCCTGTAGCACTAAGTAGTGGCCTGGAAGACCAGGCTGGTCTCAGAGATTGGCCTGCCCTGTTAGGATTAAGGGTGAGCACCACCATACCCAGTATTTTAAAAAATGTTATTTACTACATTTAAAAATGTTATTTTGTGTATGCATGTATCGTCTGCACGTAAATGCATCTGTGTTGTGGAATGCCCATGGAGGTCAGAAGGCACTGGATCCCTTGGAACAGGAGTTATGGATGGTGGCAAGCGCCTTTAATCCCAGCACTGAGGACGCAGGCCATCTGGGGCTATAGGGAGTCCCTGCCTCCAAAAAAAAAAAAAAAAATCACAACATTCTGTAACTATTATTAATCTAGGTTCACTCTGGTGAAATACTTTGAGGTGTCTCCTCAAATGAATGAAAATGTCTACATAAGAAATTTAGTCGTAAAAAGGTGGTTTAAACACAAATAGCTTACATCCTTAAATGGATCACCACGGGACATCTGTTCCTGAAGTTCCTTCTGGAGCTCCTTCCGAGCTCCTATGGTCTGCTGATTGCGGACATACTCTGAAAGTTCTTTCAAGCCTGCCTCTGTGAAATACTTAGTAAAGTGTTCAACACTTTGTTTATTGGCAGGAAAAAGTTCCTGAAAGGAGAATTTAATCTGTTAAGCAGCCTTTAAACAAAATAAAGAAAAACACTTTTTTTTTTCAGATTAAAAAATGCGAAGTTTTTTCGCAGCAGGTTCCACAACAGGTCACACACAGAGACTAAATGTCTGAAGTGCCCAACCCTAGGTGACACATCTACAATGGAACCTCTATACCTGAGGCTTACAGAATCTAGTGAAACAAGGGGTAGAGAGCCTAGTAATGCATCTTCTAACTCTCATCAACAAAGCTCCCTCATGCAACAGAGGGCAATGAACACAAAGAATCACAAATGGCCAAAGTGTAGAGAATAAGAGCCTGCAGAGTTTGGGTCCTTGGACAGGACTCCCATATTAAACTTCACCCACCCAGGGTTCAGGGATCATTGTGGAAGAGGTTGCAGAAAGATTTTAAGTGCCAGGGAGGAGGTGCATAACCACATGGATACAGAGGTTTTATAGGCTCCTGGGACCTTGCGCATATGAACTTACAACAATGGTGACAGCACACACAAGATCCATGCAAACACAAGCAAAAACCCAGCACAGAACAGTGGAAATGGGCAGCAGGCCCTAATCTTAGCTGAAGAACTATTGGGCAACTGATTACTGCTGGGTGAGGAAGATCTCATATTCTTTAAGAGGGTGACTCTAGATAGGCTGATTTGTCCCCAGTGGATGATCATGCACTGAAGGATGTCAGGGGATACTAACTTGATTTGCTAGGCCTTAATATGTCAGAATGCATAAAATCCAATGGTGGGGCTATGGGACAGGGGTATAAAGATGATAAAGATGTTGTGTATGAAACACAGAAATTCAATAAAAAATATTTTTAAAAAACCCACCAAAATGAGAAGTTTTCCTCATTCTATTACCTTTTTTGTTTTGGTCTTTTTGAGACAGGGTCTCCCTGTAGCCCTGGCTGGCCTGGAACTATGTAGACCAGACTGGCCTTGAACTCAGAGATCCACCTGCCTCTGCCTCCCAAGGTGCGGGGTTAAAGGCATGGGCCACCATGCCTGGCTCATTCTATTATCTTAAGGGTAGGCAGGAATGGAAAGAAATGCCACACACCATCAGTCTGTTATCCATGCTCACTTTCCGAAGACTTGCAGCGACTGCGTTGATATCTTTTTCATTTATCCATGATTTAAAAAGCTTTACAGCAAAAGCTGCTGAAACTCCTGTCAAAGAGGGAAAAAACAGCTTACCTACAGAAGAACCTTCCTGGATTCCTTCTAAAGTGAAACCCCCACTTTCCTCTGAATCTGTTACTATTTGACTCTTGTCCTTCACTAGTTGTCAATTATTGGTCCACAGTCAATAAAAACTTAAGAGGGTTTTCACTGAGAGCAAGTTTAAAGGGACCTTAAATTCTCAACAGCTCTAAGTATACAACTGGTCATCATTACTAACTACAAATTCAGTTCAAGGCCACCATGGGGCTACATGAGAAATATCCCCCTCCCCCAATAGAACATTGAAGCCACACCAAGGAACCGAGGATCCGTTCAAGTCTGACATTTTCTCTAATGTTATCTTCTCTACTGAAGATGCTCAACTGACATGAGTCTCTTTCCTACAGGACTTCTTTTATGTAGTATATATAAAATCATATTTTGTTTTGGGGCTGGAGAGATGGCTCAGTGGTTAAGAACACTGGTTGTTCTTGCCAAAGACCCGGGTTTGAACCCCAGCACATGGTAGCTAACAAGTGTAACTCCAGTCCCAGGGGATCTGACAGCCTCTTCTGACCTCCTTGGGCACTGCACGAAACAGGTGCACTTACCTACATGCAGGCAATATACCCATACACATAAAAAAAAAAAAAAAAAAAATCATTATTTTGTTTCAACTCTGGATATCTGTTGTACTTTAAAGGACCATAGGAAGCTGGAGAGACACCAAAGTTGGTAAAATGCTTGCCTTGCAAGTGTTAACAAAATGCATTTGATCTTTAGAGCTCATGTTAAAAACAATGAGCCAGGCACAGTAGTGTACTTACAATCCCAGCATTAGGGAGGCAGACACAGGCTACCTGACCTCTGACCTCCCTAAGTGCACACCCCCCGCACAACCCTTCCCCACAAACTAAGTCACATGTATGAAGAGCAGCAAACCATGCTCTTTATCAACATTCAAACTATCTTTTATAAAAGCAAAATTACCTTCTTTAACCAAATTCTCATTATAAAGACTATTAAGAATGGATGCATTAAGTGTTCCATTAGCCAGAAGAACCCCAGTCAACATAGCGAGCTTGTTCCTCTCCGACTCTGAAAAACCTTTTAAGAACAGCAGCAACTGTAAAAGTAAATAGTTAAAGGGTTAAAAAGGTCAGCTCTGAGGCATTTACAGCCATAAACCATTCAAGTTTATATCCTGGTAAGACAGATTAGCTGAATGCTTATAGGCAAACTACTCAATCTCTGTGCCTTTGTTTCATCACATATAAAATGAACATTATGTGCACTGTAATTAGATCAGAGCCTGATAGTCAATGAATATTGTTAGGTTTTTTTTGCTGCTGCATCCATTTATGAAATATATGCTATTAAGATTCAAATAAAAGTAATTTCTTATTCAGTGGTTTGAGCTCTAATCTTTTATCCTCCATATTCTGAACAATCTATAGATATTTAGCCCTGCTAGCAAACTAATTGATATACCCCCAAATGCTATTTCAGTGACAGTCAAGTTACTTAAGTATCTAAGGGGCTTGTGTGTGCTAAGCATATGCTCCATAACTGAGCTACACCCCAACTCTTCTTCATACCTTTTTAACTTCATCTTCAAAACCTTTCTCCAGGTATTTGTAGCGCCTGATTAACTTGTTAAAAACCTATGAAGAAAATAAAAGTCATTCTAGAACAGAAATGGAAAATTTCCACTAGGCACCCTAAAACACATCAATACTATTAACATTTTCCTAGCTATTTGTCATTACTGTATTAAACAAAGACTGCCATGAATTCAAGTCTAGGCTGGGCTTCAAAGTGAGTTTCAGGCCAGCCTCGGCCAAAGTAAGGCCCCATCACAAACAACCAAACAAAGTAAATGTATGAGGGTTGGAGACATGATTTAGTGGTTAAAAGCACTGGCTGTTATGGCAGAGGACCCAAGTTCAATTCTCTGTACCCACATGGCAGCTAACAACTATTCCTAACTTCAGTTCCAGGGATCGGACACCCTTTTTTTGCATCAGGTGGCACTGCATATATGTGGTACAATTATATGCAAGCAAAACAGGATAAATACTATTTTAAAAATTAAAAGAATGTATGAAATTGCCAGGTGTTGTGGCGTATACGTTTAATCCCAGCACTCAGGAGGCAGAGGCAGGTGGATCTCTGAGTTCAAGGCCAGCCTGGTTTACACAGAGTTCTAGCCTAGCTGGACCTACAGGGTGAGCCTGTCTTAAAAAGATTAAAAAAAAAAAAAAAAAAGTACGAAATCTTTAAGTAAGGTCTTAATAAGTTCACTTGCTGCTAACTCATAAATAGAAGAATGTACACACAGAATGGTTCAACTATGGATATCACAATAGGGAATGGATTTTTCTATTTTCTAATCAGCTTACCCTTTTTCTGGGTGACAGTTTTCCTATATGCAGCCTAGGTCAGCCTCAAATTTGCAAATTTTCTTGCCTAAACCTCCTGAGTGTTGGGAATATAAGCATGATCCACCATATTCAGCTGTGCATATATTATATGTATGTGGGGGTGGGGGACATTGAAGACAGGCTCTCATGTAGCCCAGGCTGGCTCTGAACTTATATACTATATAACTGAGGTTGACCTTGAACTCCTGATCTTCATGCCTCCCAAGTGCTGGGATCAAGCACCCAAGTTTAGTTCCCAGCACCAATGTTGGGTGGGTCACTACTGTCCGTGAGATTCAGTGCCTCAGGCTTCCAAGGGCACCTGTACTCATACATAATTTTAAACAAAATCTTTAAAAATTTTTTTTTTAATTTTATTTATTATTTTTATTTTATGTGTATGAGTGTATTGCCTACATGTAGGTGAGTGCGCCTGTGTTGTGCAATGCCCATGGAGAACAGAAGAGGCTCTTGGATCCCTGGAACTGGAGCTACGGACACTTGTTAGCTGCCACGTGGGTGCCGGGATTTGAACCCAGGTCTTCTGTATGAACCACCAGTGTTCTTAACCGTTGAGCCATCTCTCTAGCCTCAAAAATCTTTAAACAAAGGAGAGCTAATCTACTTTCTACTTTATTCTCCTTAACACATGTCAATTTTCTAATCTATCATACTATACCAAGAACTGTATCTTTTAAAAACAAAATCAAATTCAACTTTTTTTGAAAATTGTTGTTTGTTTTTTTTTGAGACCCTGTAGCCCCAGCTGTCCTGGAACTCACTATGTAGACCAGGTTGGCCTTGAACTCAGAGGGATCTGCCTGCCTCTGCCTCCTGAGTGCTGGCATTAAAGGGGTGCGCCACCATGCCCAATGAAAATGGTGTTTTTTAAAAAATATTTTGTTTTATGTGTATGAAAGTGTATTACCTCCATGTATGTAAGTGTATCTATGCCATGAAATACCCAGGGAGGCCAGAAGAGGGTGTCAGATCCATGTGGGTGCTGGGAACCAAACCCAGGTTCTCTCTATAAAAGCAGCCAGTGCTCCATCCATGTCACCAGCCCCCAAATTCAACCTTCTACCTGCAACCGTTTAAAAGCAGAATGTCCCTTAAACATCTAGACAGATGGTAGCTAAATGAAAATGTTTTCACTTACCTGAGCAAATGCTTGCATGGTCTCTAGGTCTTCTTGTGCTGCAAACACACAGACATCTGTCCGCATCATGTCATCTGCCAGTGTACCACCTGGGGCTAAGGAATATTTTACAATAAATTTGCAGTGATCTTCATCTTAAATGGGCAACCATTTCAGTCTATTTCCTAATAAAGATTTTCAATATAAAATGGTAACATAAATTCAAATGGTTAGATGGCTCATTATGTACAAATAAGGTAGAAAAGTTTACATACAACCAGTTCAAGCAAGTCTGCTCACCCCCACCACCTCCCCACAAGAGACTCAGGTAGAAGAATGGACACCTACCAAGTGTCCTGACCTCCCCCACAAGTGCACTGCATACCCACACACATACACATGCACACAAAATAAAACACACAAATATGTACTAAAAGAAACAAAGTGAATTAAAACCATTTGTCTATTTTTATTTATTTGGTGGGGAGGGGGGGTCTTTTTTGAGACAGGGTATCCCTATGACTCCAGCTAGCCTGGAACCCACAGAGATTTGCCTTTAATCTCAGCACTCAGGAGGCAGACGATCTCTGTGAGTTGAGGCCAGCCTGGTCTCCATAGAAAATTCAGGCCAGCTGTGGCTACAGGGAGATCCTGTTTCAGAAAGACCAAAAACAAAAACAAAAACAAACAAACAAAAAGAGGTTGGCGTGTGGAGAATCTGTGAAGGGTATAAACCAGTAAGACTGTGTTAGTAAGTCTTGTCTGTTGTGGTGGTCCATACCTATTAATCCCAGCACTTGGGAGGCAGAGACAGGAAAATCAAGTTTAGGAACAGTCTCAGCAACATTATCAAGTTCAAGGCCGTCCAAGGCTACATAATGAAACTGTCTCAAAACCAGGCCAAAACACAGTCAATTTTTTCTAAGTCAATTCAGAGGCCAGCCTGGTCTGTATAGGGAACTCCCTTTCGGCCAGGAACATGTAGGGAAACCATCTAAAGAGCCCCCACCCCAATTTCTTTAATATATTTTTTTAAAAACAGAGGTTTGCTTGAAGCCAGGTGTGATAAACTCACATTTGTAATTGCAACATTTGGGACACTGAGTCAGGAGGGCTGTGGCAAGCTGGAGCCTAGCCTGGGCTACAGAGATTGATCTTATCTCAAAATTCTCACCTTTCTAGCCTATAGGTGATGGAAACAAAAAAATATAACCAGAACCCATCCTATTTTGTTAGGTTTGTCAAAAGCTCACATTCTGTCTTCTCCCATAATCTTTGTATAGTAAGTACACTTCCCTAAACCAAGGCTGAAAAACTCAGGCACTTACCCAGCATTCCACCGGCCACCAAGATGTCAAAGAGGGTTTCTGCATAGCGGCGGTAGTCAAGTTTTGCTCCAGAAGCATCAAGAAACTTAGCTACTGCTTCCAAATCGGTACCAGTTTCAGTTAAGCCTTGAATAATACAGTCTTGAAACTGAGTAGGGTCAAACCTCTCTTTTTCATCTGAGGGGGGAAAACCCAAACATTTAGTTTCAAGAGGCTTATCAAAATACCACGAACCATCATCTTATGAAGCTGAGTAAGTTAACCCAGTTAGCAAGTTTCATTAATTTCAATAGCTGGAAAAAGGCAAACACAGGTATAGCACTCAGGAATTGGAACAGGACAGGAGAGAGAAGGTAAGCACACATTGATGAGCCCTGTGAAAACTAAAAGCAGGACAGTCTGGTCAAGAACTCTACACTCTTCACTTTTACAAGCTCATCTCCTAAGCAAGCCAAACATGCCAGTGCTTCCCTCCCACTGACATGAGAAAACTGTTACCTGGGATGCTTTCCTAATCAATGCCTCCTGGTTTTCCCAAAACTTTGTTATTCTTTGTATGTTACATTTTATTCCTCTGAAAATGTGCACTCAAGCTCTTCTTCCTGCTTAAAAAATTCCTGCCCCCTTTTCGGAGACAGGGTCATAGGTACCTGACTGGCTTCAAAATCCCAAGGGCTGGGATTACAGCCGCTTTCTTTGAGTCACTGAGGACAGAACCAGAGGTGCATGGCAGGTAAGCACTCTACCACTGAGCTATAGCCTACCCTTGGTCTTAATATTTTTATTTCTACTTTTATGTTTGTGCATATGCACACGTATGTATAGAGGTGAAGATCATGATCAAGTGTCTTTCTAAACTGTATTCACCTTATTTTTGAGACAGGGTCTCTCACTGAACCTAGGGCTTACTGATTTGGCTGGTAAGTCCCAAGAATCTTCCTGTTTCTGCCTCACTGCCGCTGGGATTACAGGTATGAGCCACTACAGGAGTGTTGGGGATTGAACTCAAGAGATCTTCATGCTTGTCATTACAAACACTTTACTGGCTGAAACATCTCTTTACACCCCTCCCCGACCCACCGGGGACTACAGTTTAATTTACTTCAGGCTGGCCTCAAATTCACTATGACCTGTTTCCATTTCTTGAGTGTTGGGACCACAGGTATCTGCTTACTACTTGTTTGTATGAGTCTGTGGATGGGTCCCAGAGTACTGTACATGCTAGACAAGTACTCTACCAACTAAACTAAATTCCCAGTCCTGTTTTTTTAAAAAAAGTATTTATTATTTTTAGGCCGGGCATGATGGCGTACGCCTTTAATCCCAGCACTTGGGAGGCAGAGGCAGGTAGATCTTTGCAAGTTCAAGGCCAGCCTGGTCTACATAGTGAGTTCCAGGAGAGCTGGGGCTACAGGGAGACCTTGTCTCAAAAAGACAAAAAAAATAAAAATAAAAAAATTTTTTATTTAATGTTGAGTACACTGCTTACAATGCCTGCGGAGCTCAGAAGAGGGCATAGAACCCCCTGGAACTGGAGCCACAGGGGTTATTAGCTGCCATGTTGGTGCTGGGAATCCTCTGCAAGAGCAGTCGGTGCTTTTTATCACTGAGCCATCTCTCCAGCTCTGTTGTGTTTTAAAACAAGGGTGTGCTACATAGTTCAGGCTGGCCTTCAGCAACCTCCCTTCCCAGATTTTATGTGTATATTCCTACACCCCACTAAGTTTTTGCTGTCCCCCCCCCCGACCTCTCTCAAGTATCCATAACATTTTAGTTTTTCTTTTTCAGTTTAACTGTTCACTTGCCATTTATTAACTCTGGAAGGTATATTTATTGATCATCCAAATCTAGCAGAATCTATACTAGCTACTTTGCTTTAAAACTGGTAATCTTAAATATTTTATTATTATTTATCCATTATTTTTATGTGTATATTGCCTGGATGTGTTTAAGTGTACCTGTGTTGTGCAATGCTCATGGAGGTTAGAAGAACTGGAGTTATGGACAGTTGTCAGCCACCATGTTGGTGCTGGGAATCGAACCTGGGTCCTCTGTAAGAACAGTTGTGCTCTTAACTGCAGAGTCATCTCTCCAGTCCCTATTTATTATCATTCATTTTATGTGTACCAGTGTATTGTCTGCTTGTATGTAAGTGCACCAGGGTTGTGCAGGGCCCCCAGAGGTCAGAAGGGGTGTTGGAGTCCCTAGAACTGGAGTTAAGGACAGTTGTTAGTCACCATGTGGGTGCTGGAAATAGAACCTGGGTCCTCTCCGAGAGCAGTTAGTGCTCTTAACTACTGAGCCATCACGCCAGGCCTATCCTGACAACAACCTTTGGAAGTTTATCTTTTCAAAAAATTTTTAATTTTTTGAGACTGGGTCTCCCTGTAGCCCCAGCTGGCCTAGAACTCACTATGTAGACCAGGATGGCCTGGATCTCACAGAGATCTGCCTATCTGTCTCCTGAGTGCTGGGATTAAAGGCACATGCCACCTCGCCAGCTTAATGTTTTTTGTGTACCAATGTTTTACAAGCATTTATTTAAGTGCACTTGTGCATACAATGCCTGCCAGGGCCAGAAGAGAGCACCTAGACTGGAGTTATATGGTTGTTAGCCGCCACGTGGTTGCTAGGAACCAAACCCAGGTCCTCTGCAAGAGCAGCCTGTGTTCTTACCTGCTGAGCCATCTCTCCAGCCTGAGTTGATCTTTGTATTTCTTTTCTTTTTGGATTCACTATGGAGACAAGGCTGGCCTCGAATTCAGAGATCCCCTTGCCTCTGCCTCCCCAAGTCCTGGGATTAAAGGTGTACACCAACTCTGGGTGAGGCCAGCCTGGTCTAAATACCAAGTTCCAGGCCAGCTGGGGCTACAGGGAAACCCTGTCTCAAAAAAGATTGAAAAAAAAAAAAAAAAAAGGGGGGGGGGGGCACACCACCATGCTGTGGCTTGTTACCATTTTTTTCAGAGAAATTACCTAACCAAGAGACTATACTGGCTAGTAATTCAGAGCATGGACCTTGGAGTCAAACTACCTGACTGCAATCCTGATCTCTACCAAACCCTGTACATTTGAGTAGTCCATGTTCCAGGTTTACAGTCTCTTACAAAAGAATGAATTTCTGTGAATACTAAATACAAAGTGGAAAGCACTTAGCTTTGCTGGGCCTAGTGGTGTATCCCTTTAACCCCAACACGCAGGAGGCAAAGGAAGGTGGATCTCTCTGAGTTCTGGGCTAGACAGACAAAAAACCAACCAACCAAAAACCACTTAGCTTTTCCTGAATTACCTAGCTCCATGACTGGGTTTGTTTTGTAGTGGTACTGAGGATAGAATCCAGGGCCTCATCTATGATAGCCAAGTGCTCTGCACCTCTAGCCCTTTGATAGTTTTGTCAATTTAGGTCACATATTGTCTCAATTTTCACACACCACAAAAGTGTGGGATTCCCCTGGTTTTACGGTTTTGAGTCCTGTTTGTCAGAAACTCCCTTAGTTCCAGGCAAATATAGGTAATAATTGTTCACACTATCCAGGACCAGGAGGTTATGAATCGTGTGTGTATATGTGTGTGTTCAAGACAGGGTGTCTCAAAATGTAGGCTAGTGGAGAAATCCCTCAGCAGTTTAGAATGCCGGCTGCTCTTATAAAGGACACAGGTTCAGTTCCCAGCACCTACATAGTGACTAACAACTGTCTTTAACTCTAGTTCCAGGGGATCTGACACCCTCTTCTGGCTTCTATGGGCACTAAACACATGTGTCATACACACAAGCAGGCAAAACACCCATACATATATAAAACAAAAATTAAAAAAAAAAAAGGAGGCTATCACAGGGCCTGGTGGTCCACGCCTTTAGTCCCAGCACTTGGGAGGCAGAGGCAGGCAGATCTCTGAGTTCAGGCTAGCATGGACTACACAGAGTTCCAGGCGAGCTGGGGCTACCAGGATACCCTGTCTCAACCTCACCCCCCCAAAAAAAGTAGCCCAGGCTGGTGGAATTACTGGTTGTTAATGCTCTTGTCTCAGCCTTCTGAGTGCTAAAATTATAGGTGTGTGTGCCACTAACCAAAAATCAATGTCTTTATCTAAATTAGGGAAGTGACACTCCCCTGGATGTTAACACTAAGTTACTTGCTAATATCACTTATGTCACCAGGAACCTGAACACTCAGAAGATACATACTTTGTTTTATTATCAAATTGCTTTAGTTTACAACTTCTATTCCCTGGGACATTTTACTGGCTAAATCTAAACCTATAAAGATTAAAATAAAATCACACTTCGGCTTTACCACTACAAGCGGACAGACTATGACAGGAGAACATGAGATGCCATATGCATCTTAATCTATGAAGGTAGAAAAAACAATTTAAAACCATTCTCTGTTCCTTCCAAACTACTTATTATCAGGTTAACAACATGTTTTCTTTTTTTGTTTTTGAGACTGGGTCTCATTATATAACCCTAGTTGGCCTGGAACTCAGAGAGATCTGCCTGCCTGTCTTAGGAAAGCTGGGATTAAAGGTGTTGCCACTCCAGCCAGGCTAATATGTCTTCAAGGATATCATTTAAGTGTTCTCTGTGTTACTAGCAATGCCTTCTACTTAATTTAGCATTCATGACAGCACCTACTAATATAAAAAAGGAGTTAAAAGTCCAGGTTCCATGCCAGGGATGCCAGTTCACACCTGAAATTCTGCACTTAGAGAGGTAGGTAGACTGTGGTCAGCCTCATCTACATGGTGAGATCCATGGCAGTTCACACCTGAAATTCTGCACTTAGGGAGGTAGGTAGACCCCGTGGTCAGCCTCATCTACATGGTGAGATCCAGGCCAGTTGGGCCTACAGAAGACCCAGTCTCAAAAAACCAAAAAAGACCCAATGTGTCTTCTTTGGGACCTTGAGCATGCTAGGTACTCTACCAATGAGCACTTTTTCACACATCTCCACAAAATCTAGCTAGTATCAGAATATGCTGACATTAAAAAGTAAAGGTTTGCTGGGCGTGGTGGCACATGCCTTTAATCCCAGCACTTGGGAGGCAGAGGAAGGTGGAACTCCAGCCTGGTTTATATAGTGACTTCCAGGTCAGCCAGGGTTACATAGTGAGACCCTGTCCAAAAAAAAAAAAAAAGAGGG